GATAAACACACTGCGTGCGAGACGCATTTAGTGTGACCGGGTTGATATACTGTATCTATGGCAACCAAACGTCACTGGTGAGACAAACGTGCAACGAACGGACGGTCAGATGGCGTTTTGGCTGGGGAAAAACTGATCAGAAAATGTAACGAAAATGTAACAGAAGTTGTAGAAATGTAGTGGAGTAGAAAGTATAATAATTGCTGCAAAATGTAACAAAGTAAAAGTAAAAAGTAGGCACTATTTATTGTACTTAAGTAAAGTAAAGATACGTGAAAAATGTACTTAAGTAAAGTAACGAAGTATTTGTACTTCGTTACATTCCACCACTGGCGTTTGAGTATGAAGGCATCTATTAAAGAACTTGTTTCACACTAGAAGTCAATGCACCATAGCACCACAAATAAAATTAAATTAAATAGCATGTGATCTACAGGACTATAGATACTACTTTTCACTTTAAGGTCAGTCCTACGCAACGCAACTGATGTCAATCAATCGTGAGGTCGTTGTGTGAGTTTCCTTCTCTCTTCTCTGAACAAATGAGTGAGTATTTCTTAAGTGTTGTATTAATTTCTGGCTTGTTGAGGAAGGCGTGCAGCAGCAGGAATTAATTGCTTCTTTGCAGTAGTTATGTGAAGCGGCAACATGCTGCGTGGTGATTAAAAGAGCTTCACATGGAATATGAATAAGAGCATAAATCACGGCGAACGGTGGCAGAATGCGTAATGAACGCGGCGTAATGAGAGAAACCGCACACGTGGCATGTCTGGGTTAATCTGCGATCTCAGCGATAAGTGAAGGTCATGGGAGGGGAGGAATCGAGATAAAGAAGATATCTACACAAAATGTGCATTGCATGAACTGAAGTCAAAACATCTGTGCCACTTTTGCATGTTTTGTTTTGATTTGTGTATTTGTTTTATTTTGTGAATTTGTTTTGCTCTGCCTTTTGCTTTTGTTTGTTTGTTTTTGCTTAGCTTTTTGTTTAGCTTGTTTTGCTTTTGTTTGTTTTTTTGTTTTGCTTTGCTTTTTGTTTTGCTTTTTTGATTTTGTTTGTTTTTTGTTTTGCTTTGCTTTTGTTTATTTTTTTCTTTTGCTTTGCTTTTTGTTTAGATTTTTTGCTTTTGTTAGTTTCTTTTTGCTTTGCTTTTTGCTTTTGTTTGGTTTTTTCTTTTGCTTTGCTTTTTGTTTAGATTTTTTGCTTTTGTTTGTTTTTTGTTTAGCTTTGCTTTTTGCTTTTTTTTTTTTTTGCTTTGCTTTTTTTGCTTTTTTGCTTTTGTTTGTTTTTTTGTTTTGCTTTGCTTTTTTGCTTTGCTTTTTGTTTTGCTTTTTTTGCTTTTGTTTGTTTTTTCTTTGCTTTGCTTTTGTTTGTTTTATGTTTTGCTTTTTTGCTTTGATTTTGTTTTGCTTTTTTTGTTTTGCTTTTTTTTGGGGGGGGGGGGTTGTGTTGTATTGCTTTGCTTTTGTTTTGCTTTTTTGTTTTTTGCTTTGCTTTTTGTTTTGCTCCTAGTTTTTTGTTTTGCTTTTTCGTTTGCTTTTAGTTTTTTTGCTTTATGTTAGAAGTATTTTTTTCCTCAGAATTTGACTTTATAACTTGCAATTCTGACTTTATTTGTGACTTTATATGCCGCAATTCTGACTTTATAACGTGCGAGTTTTATCTCGAAATTCTGAGGGGAAAAAAAAGTTAGAATTGTGTTAGAATTGAGTTAAAAAGTTGCAATTATCCTTTTTAAATTGTTATTCCGCTAAGTGTGATTTTCCTCAAGTACACCATTAGAGACCTATAGATCACAAAAATAGAACAAGAGACCAAGAAAGAGAGGAGAGAAATCATGACACATGGAAAAGGGTGACAGACAGACAGAGAAGGGGATGAAAGCTGCCTGTGTATCAGCTTTCTCTCACCTATCCATCACCTTGGCGGCAGCAGGTCTGTGGTTGGGCCTGTTTGCTGTCACTGAAGCTGTAGTGAGGGAAGCAGCCATTTCACATCATTGATTTACATTAGTCAGAGAAGAAAGCAGAAGAATGACTGAAGGGAGTGACTCTCTCTCACACACCCACAACCCCTTGTGTGCAGCCTTTTAATATTGCATTGGGTGTTTGGTGTCTGCTTTCTACTTGATGGGGTTTAATTTAATCTACGGTGGCTAACTTTCTCTCTGTGTGGGGCTCTTTTCAACACATGGGCAATTACAGAGCAAAAAGAGAGAGGGGGCAGAAGAGGAGAAAAGCCAAAGTAACAAGACAGAAGATGGAAAAAGAAAAGGGGGATTAAGTATGGAGGAAAACATAAGTGGGAAGAGGGAATGAGTGCAGGATTAGAGGAGAGGATGATTGAGTGACAGAGACAGAGATGTGTAAAGATGAAGAGGAGAGAGGGTCAGTGTGGGCTCACGGCTCGAGGCAGGATGAGCGTGTGCCTCCTGTCAATGTCACCTTAACATGTCTCACTGCGGCAGGGAAAGACACTTTTCTTACAAAGACTGTCACTGAGTGATTGACCTGATTGGTTCAGACCTTCCTCAGTTGCTCAACCTTGTCCAATCGTGTTGTATCATATGAGAACATTTTACTTTCTGACTTTTCTGCTTTAATAAGACCTGTATGGGAATGCATTGCATTTTGGTGAAGAACGAGACCAAAGAATGATAGCAATTTTGATATTTATTTTTCAGAAAACATTTTAATTATGTACTTTAACTGCAAGACAGTATATAACAATTTAAGGCCATTATTCCTTTTTAAATATATTTTGACATCTGTCACAGTGAAGATATTATATACAACACATCTGTTAAACTTTTTTACGTTTGTTTTTCTTCCAGATAATATTTTAATAATTTGCTTTGGCTTCAAATCAAGTATTTGACAATATAAAAAGCTATTATATATATATATATATATATATATATATGAAGAGTTCAGATGCAAAAGCCTCTAAGTGCCATTTGAAATTTTCTTCTAGAATGATCATTTTAATCAATCTTGTATATTTAAGTTCAGTGATTTCACTTAAATGGCAATGATAATTACCTATTAATTGTTATTTAAGTGAAATTACTGAACTTAAATATACAAATCATCATTAAAAAAGAAAATTTCAAATGGCATTTAGAGGCTTTTGCATCTGAACTCTTCATATATATATATATATATATATTGTTTACACAACATTACACTTACTATTTATCTTCCACAGTAATAATGTCTTTTATATATGAAAATAAATATCTGGCTTTATATTTCAGTAAGCAGAAAATAAATATTTTACAAAATGTACTTTTACAGGTGTCAAAATTAATCATTAATAATAATAATAATAATAATAATAATTAATATTTAACACATTTTCAAATTTTGATAATGTATTCATTTATTTTCCATGAAATTATTTTAAAATGTGCTTTGTTTTCAATACAGTGTGTGTATATTAAATCAGCTTGTTCTCATGTAAATGCATCTCTATAACACACATCGTGTATTGTCATGTAATTTATGCGTGAAAATGAGTTTTTACGTGCATATGAGATGCAATTTTTGCATGCATTTGATACGTAGTTCATTTGCGTGTAATACACACGCACCCCACACCCTTAATTCTACCGAAACGTATAATACACACACACATCCCACCCCACACCTAAACCTGCCCTAACCAACCAATGCGTATCATATGCACATAAAAACTCACTTTAGCGTATAAATTACCCGACAATACACATGCGTGCTATAAAGACGCATTTAGTGTTATCGGGTTGATTGTACGTGAAAATGAATATCTGCCTAGAAATGAATACTTCAAAAATGTGGTTCCTTAGCTAGATCATCTCTTTATTTGGTGCTTTTGGGATCAAACCCCTGTCATAGAAACTTGGGAGCATGCTCTTTTGACTCACCATCCAGAACACACTAGCAACACATTAAAACCACTCAGAACACCTTAACTACAACACCCATCTGTGCGTTAAATAGATCTAATGGAGAATGAAAGGGAATTATTTGAGAATAGAGAGTGGTGATGACATCAGGACATGTGACCATGTTTAATCCACATGACATCACTGACTCTAATACATTTTGTTTACCAAATTTCACAAGTTTCAGAATAGCGCACAAACGCGTCTACATCTCAACAACTGGCTCCTCGAGGCCGAAAAGAACACCAGCTCGACCCTGCTTTTGTTTCGAGTGAATGGTGGGCAACTAATTACCTCTCCTCCCCTTTCAGTGTTTGCTCTTCTGTAATACAGCTTAACATATTCACATCCCACCCTAAAGATGTTCATGAATATGCACAAGGCCCCACAGTCTAATCCTCATGATTGACAGGTTGACATCTTAATCGGAGTGATTGATGGAGCGCCGATTCCACTCGTTTCGGATACGTCTCCTCCTCGCCCCTCCCTCGCTCTTTCTCCTCATACATTCCTATGGCCGTTCCCACACTGTCATTAGCCATCACGCTAAATAACTTAACCTCCCTCGCTAAGGTCTCTTTAAGCTCTCGTCCTGATTGCTTCGTCTGAATAAACCTGTCGCGCTCGGTTTTGCGTGAGTGTGTGTGTTTGTGTGTGTTTTTGTGGTGTGGCGCTCACTAAGCCCCCCTGCTCTGGTAATTGGACCTGCTTTCTCTCAGCGGCCTCCGAGCTCAGTAGGAGCTGGCAGTGCGGTGGGGGGGAAAAAAAAGAGGCCAGAAAGTCATTCTGCATGTCCAAATGCACTGCACAAATCCATTACATCAGTATTCTGGTCAGACTTGAGTTCAGACACAAAGAAAAGAAGTGGAAAATGAGGGGAAGGCAAGAGAGAGAATAGGAGAAGCACTCACAAAAGTCTTTTGACTAGGAATTAAAGCTGTAGCTGGCTCTAGACTTTTAAAGCAAATAAGTTTCAAGCTCACAGAAAAATCAATTGCCAGTGAAAAGAGTTTGACACACACAAAAAAATAAACGCTTTAGTTTTAAATGTGACTTTTCTTCCTTGTTTTTCAGAACAAGGTGGAACCGGGACACGACTAGAACAGAGACTCGAGACCGACGGGTGAGTGACAGGATGTTGGACAAATGACACAGGCACATAACCAAGTCTTGATGAGAAATGCCCCCTTGTTTTGGACCCTCCCAGCTATATCGGACACATTAATCATTCTTTATATTAGACAGATATTAAAACCCATGGCATATTGAGGGTAATATCTAAGATGAAGGAATGGATGACTGATAATTTTTAACAGTGATTTTTTAAAAGACAGAAGCCATGTTTCCATCCACTTGTCAATCGAATTATCTGAAATTCGGTTAAAAAACTCATGCGGATAAAGCTGGTGAAAGTGTGTTTCCATCCAACGGCTTTAAAGCGAATAAAAACCTGTACGTAATGACGTCACATGCTGTTTTGCGATCAAATTGGTATATCGAATTGATTTGAGACATTTTAAGGTCTTTCTATTTATTTTCGCACTGAATCGAACAACATTCAAGCAAACTTTTGCGAACAAAGTTTTGTTAGACAAAACGGATCGCGCCATCTACCAAAAAAAATGATCAATATTTCGCAAGTTGAAGGCTAATAATGCTTATGTGCCAGCTGATAGCGACATATGAATGGGATAATGTATGCAAGGCGGCTGTTGTATTCGCCTCACAACCGCCTCGCTATATATTATCCTGCTTATTACATATAAATCAACCAAATAAATAAATAAATCAATCATTTGACACAAAATATTGACTTGAAAACGAGTTTATTGATTTAAAAACGAGTATTGCTTCTGCTAAAGAAAATAGTCTGTTCCGTCTCTGAACTGCGTCCATGGCAACGGTGTGTTATACTAGCAGCGCCGCAGTCTGTTAACTAGAAATAACAGACCACATTCTACATTACAATTCAACCAAGCCACGTAAAAACAAGCAAAACTAACCCAAGAAAACAACGACGCTATAAACATTGCTATGATGATGCGATGCCGATGCACGTATGCCCGACGACAGCGGAGGTGACTGTGGTTTGGGAACGAGCGCTCAATCAGTTCTGGGAGATCGTGGTTCACGGAAACCCTTTGGTTGAAGCATCTTTTTGCTTTGTCCACTTACATCTGTCTTTGTTGACATCCGCCATGTGTGCGCAAACAGACTGGCCGGAAATGAACTCGTCTTCTGACGTGTTGCAACCATAAAAGGGCATAAAACTTAATCGCAATTCATTATTTATTCGGCAAATAACGTTTCCATCAGCTTTTATCGCATTAGCCGTATATCGATCAAGAGAAAATTCGATGAGACCGAACGTATTTCATTTGAGTCGATTTTCATGAAATTTCATCGAACTTTACCGTTTCCATAAGGCTTTTTTCATTCGATATCACTTAATTCGGATAAAAACGTGTCGATGGAAACATGGCTAGAGATTATGCTTGTTGGTTCACCCCACCAATTACGCAAAGTAGAGCCGGTTTCTCACATATTTTAGCTCTTTTCCAACTGTCTTCCCGTTTTAGTATTTTCCCATAAAATATCTCGTATTTTTACGCTCTGACTGTGTGAGACGTACTGTACAAGCTCGGACATATTCGGCTTGAAGTCGTTCATCCTCGGACAAAAAAAGGCTGTACACAACACAGCCATGCAAAATGAGGTCTTGCCGGTCTTGTGCACCCAATGCGTAATTTTTGCCACGCTAGTGCGGACGTGTCGAGTAAAGTCTTTACTCCGTGTCAGCGCGCACTCTGATCGGTAAAGGTGCACAGACCTCTCACAATCATCTCCTGCACTCGGCCTCCGAAGCACCACTAACTCCCCCTCCGTTTCCCCAAAGCCTGTCGGTTTCCCGCATAAGCTGATATTAGTATTTAAACATTCTCAATTTTTTTTTTTTAAACGACACACTGTCTTTCTCTCTCACATATGTAGGCTAGTTATAAACTCTTTAGACATTTATGGTTAGTGCTTTATTTTTAAAGGGCACCTATTATGCCCCTTTTTACAAGATGTAATATTGGTCTTGGGTGTCCCCAGAATGTATTTGTGAAGTTTCAGCTCAAAATACCCCACAGTTAATTTATTATAACCATTTGAAAATATCATTTTGGGGCCTGTTCAAAAATGAGCTGTTTTGGGTGTATACGACCTTAAATGCAAATGAGCTGCATATCCCCGCCCTGCCTTTGGATGAGGGCGTAACTTGGTACCTATGGCAGTCGGTAAGCCGAAGGGCTGAGAGAGAGAGACCCGCTGTTTTGAATCTCATTCAGCATACGTTTGAATCGGAATATATAAATAGTCCCTGATCAGACCCAGATGACGACGAGACTCCGGCAGAATTAACACAAATGAAATGGACCAGTATGTCTCGGTATGGTTATTTGATACATTTATGTTTATAGAGTTGTAATCGCGTCTTTTTGCAAGTATGGATGTGCAAAACACACACAGGCACACACAAACACTAACGTTGGCGCAATTTTTTTAAACTACATACACATTCTGTGATAAAGTTTGTTTCGTACAAGCGAAATTACACTTATGCGAGGGACCTGTTGCGTCATGTATACTTGTCATACAGATGCTTCTGTGGCAAATGTGAGAAGATGGCTAACTTAAAGAACAACAACATATATGCAGTTTTTAATACAATATCTTTAAATATATATATTTATAAACGTGTGGTTACACACTATACAAACAAGGTTTAAATTATATACACAGACATCCTACGACGACACCAACTTTAGATGCATTTGTTGTTGAATTGGCTGACAGACTGAAATAACTATTTGCTCAAAAACAATAAAATACACTTACTAGAGGTGACGTTGGATTGCAAACAGTAGATGACGATCCACACTTGAGGATTAACTTTTAAGCCACAACAACAGAATCCCATTGTACTTTAAAGGGACACTCCACTTTTTGGGGGGAAATAGGCTCATTTTACAACTCCCTCAGAGTTAAACAGTTGAGTTTTACCATTTTCGAATCCATTCAGATGATTTTCTGATATTTAGAAGAATATCAGTAACCAGACAGTTTCTAGTCCCATTGACTTCCATAGTATATTTTTTTCCTACTATCAAGTCAATTGGACCAGAAACTGTCTGGTTACTGAATTCAAAAATGGTAAAACTCAACTGTTTAACTCTGAGGGAGTTGTAAAATGAGCAAAACTGTCTGGAGTATCCCTTTAAAGAATGCTGAGATTAACAGGGTAAAAAACATTGTACAAAAACACTGTGATACTTTGTGTGAGAGATTGGAGGAGAGTGTGTTATGATGCCTACGTAGCTGATAGGAATTGTTGATGCAGAAGGAAAAACCTGAAATGACGGTATAAATATATGAATGAAATAAAAGGGGTGAAAGTAGGACACGGGGTCAGAGCTCTGTGGGGTTCTCAGCTACAAACACACGCACACAGCACGACCTTTATGCATGGTAGATCGAGCCTCACTGAAAACACACAAATGCTTCATTACTTCTGCCTCATAGACACTTACAATATCCCTACAAAGAATGACCTCACATACAGACGGACACACACAAACACATACACATACAATACCAGTCAAAGTTTTGACACACCTACTTGTTGATTTTATTGGTATTTTCAACACAAACGAAAGTATTGGAATTAGGTATTGACCACAATTTATATTTGTCTACAAAACTAAGAATTTACGAATTTAAAGACTTTTTAAAAGTACAATAAAAATGGTTCCGGATCAGCTACACTCTTAGAAGAAAAGGTTCTATATAGAACTTTAAAAGGTTCTATCAGCGCTACGTATTTGTAACCCCTAAAAGGTTCTATACACTCTTAAAAAAAGATTCCTCTGGGTTCTATATAGAACCCTGGGGTTCCATACTTGGCCAATAGAACCTTTTACCCAAAAAATGGTTCTATATAGAACCATTTTGGTGTTCCATATATGAAGCGGGGGATGGAACCATTTCTGGTTCTAAATAGAACCATTTCTTCTAAGAGTGTATGGTCACCATTCACTTTCATTGCATGGAAAAGAGCAGCTTGGACATTTTACTAAATACTGTATACTTTTGTGTTCCACACAAAGTATGTCTTGAATTTCTAAAAGTTCTATGATTCAAATTTTTGTCCGCAGTTCTTCTGGATATAGTTTTTCCAACCCGATCTCACGCTAATTCGTACGAATTTTACGAGGTGGCTAATTCGTAACAATTCGTACGACCTCACTCGTACGAATTAGTACGATTTTGCTAAATCGTACATATTTTACGAATTAGCCAAATCGTATGAATTCGTACGAATGACCTACCCCTGACCCCGCCCCTAAACATAACCGTCACGTGGGTTTAGACAAATCGTACAAATTCGTACGAGTGAGGTCGTATGAATTAGTACGAATTAGCCACTTTTGAATCACTCCTACGAATTCGTACGAATTGGTCGGTTTCTTCATGTAATCACTGACCGACTCGATGATGGTGAGATCTGCTCATACCGGCTGTAGTCAGACTCCTTGTCCATATCTCACTGGATTATTACAATAATGGCAAAAGGAATGTTTGGAATGAAAACTTACATTTCCTAACGACACACTACACCAAAGGATATAAATAACTAGCGTAAAACCTTTCTTGTTGGTGAAAATACTTTTGCATACCATAGCATTGTATTGTTTCCCCCATTGCCAATTTACATGTAGCAGCGATTAGGAAAATGCGTGTAGAAAGTGTGCTATGAAAAATAATGTGAAAGTATGTGCAATAAGCCTTACATTTTTATGGTACTCCAAATATATAAACTCATATCTAAATATATACTTTGGGAGATTCAGTCAAGTGTGTCCAAACTTTTGACTGGTAGTGTGCTGCTATCTGAACTGTACCAATCACACACACTGTGCTTACATGCTAGTTTGAAAGAGCTTCCTGCGTACCCGGGAGTCAGTGAACTTTCCCCTACGATTGAATCCTAGGCTTTCTGTGAATGCTTGGATCAGTCCTCCCACACTCCCCTCTCTATCCCACACCCGCCCAGCAAAAAGATGAGAACCTATTCTGCAA